AAAGCATGGACCCAGAAGGGAGTTCCACAAGCGAGAAGTGCGAGAAAAGGGAGTGTCAGAATAGAACTTACGGTTACATCTAGCCAACTGAACTGTAAATGGATGAGACGTCGTCGCCAGTATTCTTTTGTCAACATTTGAGAATGATTCTATTGATCCCTACTGACAAATCCAAAAGTGACATTGGGATAATGGAAATTTATTCTCTGGTCTGGAGATTACTTTTCATTTTGAGGCTGAATGGAAACATTTTGAAAATCTTCCTAAAGGATTAGTCAAACGGTATAGAAACAGCGGGCAATGAAATCGATCAAAGGGAATTTAGCCAACGGGCATAGGTGTTGGGAAACACCTCAGATGGTGGTCATGTGACATGTTTTGATCAAACAGAAAAAAAATCTATGTAATTTCGGAGGTCCTGCTTCAGACAAAGGGTTATATTAGAATTTAATTTGAGAACCACTACTGCAATGCTTTTCAAGTTCACGTTCTAACATCTTCTCTGACCTTTGCCCCGACTTTCACCCCTGCTTTTAAAAACGACCCCTAAAGTCTTGATCCTTATCAGATATAAGAATATATTTTCTGACGAATGAGAGGGCAGAGAAAGGGTATAAGCAATTTTGGAGGGAAAAGTTCCCGATCTTTCTGAGCCTTCTAATCTCAATAAATACCGAGAATATGCGCCTCTTTGACAGTGAGTATTTGACATCGTCTGTGATAACATCAGGTTGGCGACAACAATACCAGTCATCTTCGGAACCTGTTTCAAAGAAGAAATCTAGATTCTGGTTTCTAAAGACAGAACGTCAGCCCTCTACTAAAACTACTCAAGATCTGCTTCCTAGGACCTTGAAATTCCTGTCGTCGGCCTACAAACTCACAACTACAAACTACGGATCTTCCGTCTGTTTCCTTCTCAACAAGAACTCTGAAGAAGCCTTAGGTGAATATTAACCCCATAAGAATAATTTACTTGCATAAAGATCTTTTAGGCGCCCAGAATAATATTTTGAGTAAGCCTTTACATGGACACTTTTTCTTCCTTTAAGTTAAAGGAGTTTTTTTCTTTTCTTTCTCTCATATTTTTTATATATCCCGTTATATTTTGTGGTGTATGTGTGACACTATTTGGCTTGCTAGAAAGAAAAAAGAAAAAAAAAAGAAAAGGCGAGAATTAAATTTAGGTGATAAGAAGCCATCACGAACAGGACACTAAGCGATGTTATTTTTCTAACAAAGAAAAGTGGTAAAATTTTTATTTCCATTGTCGAGAAAGGAAGATACTGGATTTAATCTGATTTATGTTACGGGGCGGAGAATAAGATATAGCCAATCTGCCCATGGCAATGGTGAAACTTCCAGGTTGCTCAAATGACCTGTGAGATAGAATTCTAAAGATTAAGCACCTGCTGACCAAAAAACAAAATGTTGCTGGACCACACAGAGTTACAAAAACAAAAGACTAAACCATTAGTTATCTGCGTAAGGGTCGTTTAGAAAAAGCATCGGTTTATTGTCGGGACTGGCTATGATAGCGAAACTATTTTATCGGAACAGTTAATTAGCAACAGAATGCAAATACGTCTAATTGACCACCCACTTGTTTGGCGAAGGCCCCAGGTGATAAAGTCCAAGTGACATTTGGCTAAGATAAGAGACCAAGGGTTCGTTGTCGGGCAGAAGGAAAGAAAGAAAAGAAAAAGAAAAAAAAAACAAAAAAGGAAGATAATTTTTTTCTTTGAGCAAGATTTTTTAAACCGAGGCTAGTCTGGCCACACCCACGCCGCCGAGCGCCCATTGGCTGAATGGTGGCGTGAGCGTTAGGCGGAGGTAATCATGTGAAGGAGGGGAGGCCTGTTGGTGTGAGATGCCACTGTGAGAGAGAGAGGAGAAACCCGTTGACTCCCTCTGAGGGTATGGTGAGATACCAATATGAGAACAGAAGGTTGGAGGACGAAAAGACTTCCAAAAATGGAAAATAATAAATTTTCCTGACCGAAAACAAAGTGAATTGTGGATTTAGAATTATCAAGGAACCTCAAACCCCGACAAGCCCACCCGGCTTTGGTCGGCGTCCATATAAGCAGAGTCGCAGCGAGTGAAAAGCAGTTGAGTTGAGTTCCAGATGAGAGGCAGTTGAGTTAAGTTCGAAGTTCGCAGCTGAGTTGGATTGAATTGGTCCCGCCTCGCAGATAGCTGACTTGAAAGATTCCACGCAAATCACGACTCATCTTCTAACCAAGAACAATTTATTTTTGAAGAACGACTTAGACTCACACCACCAAAACAAGTTTTACGAATATAGCCTGAAGATACACCAAGAACCAGTTTCTTAAATAACAAACAACTTAAGATGTTAAGACTCGCCTAACAAACACAAAGCGTCACGAATCCATATAGCGGGTTGGGAAGAAGACACAGTCCTGTATTCAGCAACCAGATATAAAGTATTGTTATCCTTTTTTTTAACACATTTGAACTTTTCGAGTTATTATTTTCTTTTCTTTTACATATACTTGTGTGGTATTACCCTTGGCCGGACTCAGCTTGCATTACGGCCCGACAACTGATTGATTTCGTCTACCTAAGATCAAATCACAACGTGGGTAGGTTAGACTAGAAATCAAAACAGTTACTTCGGTAACCAGACGTTGGAGGCGAGCTGGGAACGACAAGGCTGATACCGAATCTAACCAGATTCCCATCCGAATCAGCAAAAGGTTAGAACGTCACATTTGGTGCCGCGACCAATACCAAGTCACATTGGTCGTCACGCGGCCAGGCAGACGTCACGATTGGCGCAGCGACACCTGGGGGGGGGGGGCGTTCACATATGTAAATAAGCATTTTCTTCTTTTGTTACACTCCGAGCAGGTGTTTGAGTCTTTATTCTTCCGCCTAAAGGAGAGAATTGTCCGCTCTAAACGTTCAAGCGGTTTTTCTTTTTTTTTTTAAATTCTGTCACATTTAACCTTATCCCTTTCATGTGGGAAAGCCGGGACAAATTTCCCACAGTTGGGAATGAAACCGCTATGAATGTTGGAAAAAACGTTAACAGTGGAGTTGAGAAAACTATTTTCCTGATAATTTGTTTTAAGAGAAGTATTTTATAAATTTCAACCGACAGTAGCTTGGCTGTTCAGGCAATGAATACTGAATGTTTCCTTATAAGGAAACGGTGAATGTTAGCATTGTTATTACATTCCGCGGCATGCCAGTGGCGAAATATTGATAAAAGTAAACTATGAGTTAGGCTATTCACTTGAATGTACCTTTGTATCAACCTCTCCCCGAAGTTTAAAAACTATTTTTGCTAGTAGTTTAACAAATCTAACACAATATTGCAATAACAATAAGAAGTAAGGGGTACTTTTAATGAAAAGATTTGAAATTGACAACTTTTTCCATTTCATTGAAACAGACATTAGATATTTCTATCTTCACTTATTTCTTTCTTTCATTTTCCCACTGAAATCGAGTAGCGTTTCTAATGAGTCTTTTCCGCTTTCCACGCGACCAAAACGGAATAGTCCATTATTTATGGGGTATTGGCAGGAGACGTTAAACACTTATATCTTCTTTTCTTTCTTTCTTTCACTGAAACCAAGTAGCGTCTCTGATATGTCTTTTTCGTCTTTCCACGCGACCAAAGACAAAGTAATTTCTAATGAAGTAACAGATTTTATTTATAATCCGAGATTATTTATTACGTTAAACATTATATTTCGTGTATATGTGGAGGTTGTGTTAATGGATTAAATTATATTGATCAAAAATTGTTGAGTAAATTAGGCTGCGTGATGAAATTAACAATTTCCTCTCACATTTCAGTATTCAACAAACATAGAATAAGGACAACATGAAAAACAACAGTTTTTGCACAACAACGAATAAAATATTTATATAAACAAAGAGGTACAAACAACTGGAGTAAAAACGTAGTTTTAAAAAGTTCAAACGTCCTTTTATGTTTAGATGAAAGGTTATCAAAGTTCTGGTTTGATAGATTATAATTTGTTAAATGGTCTGTACAATAATGAGAAAATGTGTTTTGGTATTGTAGTAATTTAAAAAAAATAAACAGTTCAAGTTTGTATTTGAATAGAGAAATATTGTTTACGACTTACTTTAAGGTTTACGGAATTGTCGCTCTTTGATTTGTTTTCACTTGTTCGAAGAGAATATTCTAGTTGGGGTAAGTAATTATTAACAATCTGTGCTTATGTTAATTGCAATAATTAACGTTGAGCTTGAAAGCGTATGAAAAAGATTCGTGTATTAAGTTGAATGCGGAAAACTTGAGTTGATTATTCGCCATAAAATATTGCTGTGTGAATGAGTGTTCTCTCAGGCTGGAATCACGTTAAAGAACTTTAACGTAAAGCCTGGAACTGTGTGATGAGTTCAAAGGATTCCGATCGGCGTACTGTCGAAGATGAAAGACGTTTCATATTTTATTGATAACTTTGGTCACGTGGTAGGCTCACAGAAGCTTGATAGATTTTGGCGGAATTATCTTTTTGGTCAGGTCAAGAACTAGGTCGATGTTATTAAATATTAAGTGACCAATTAGAAGTTGAGATTTTCTGAAAATATTTACTAAGCTGAATAAGCTCTGTGGTTCACTTTTTGTATGAAAATTGATATTGATAAAAAAGTGATAGCGGGATGCTAAATATATATGTATTTGAGTAGACATTTGTGTTTTTAAGCAGTGTAAATCTATGTTTACCGGTCTGTGCATTCGAGAGTCTTAATAAAGAATATGTGCTTTACCTTAGTATCCACGTTATAAGAAATAATGTTTGATTATAAATAAAATCCAATAATTGCTTAGAAATTACTTTGTTTACGTGTCGGATACGAAAATAAATGTTAACAGTCCAAATATTAAATAATATAATATAATAATCTTTTTATAATATTTAAATAAATGTTATGGACTTCAAGAGATTCGAACAAGAGAAAATGAGCAGTTTCTTCTACATGCAACATACCTGTTTGGTAAATTTTTCATGAAGCGAATAAAAATGTCCAGGTTCACAGGTCCTTTTAGTGTTTTTAATTGTTTCTGGAAATAGAAAAACAAAAATATTTACAGTGGAATCTCGGTTTACGAATTTAATTCATTCCTGAAGGCCGTTCGTAACCCGAAATGTTCGTAAACCGAAACTATTTTTCCAATACGAATCAATGTAACAAAAAGGAATTACAGTGGAACCTCGGTTTACGAATTTAATTCGTTCCTGAAGGCCGTTCGTAACCTGAAATGTTCGTAAGCCGAAACTATTTTTCCAATACGAATCAATGTAACAAAAAGGAATTACAGTGGAACCTCGGTTTACGAATTTAATTCGTTCCTGAAGGCCGTTCGTAACCTGAAATGTTCGTAAGCCGAAACTATTTTTCCAATACGAATCAATGTAACAAAAAGAAATTACAGTGGAACCTCGGTTTCCGAATTTAATTCGTTCCTGAAGGCCGCTCGTAACCCGAAATGTTCGTAAACCGAAACTATTTTTGCAATACTAATCAATGTAACAAAAAAGAATTACAGTGAAACCTCGATTCACGAATTTAATTCGTTCCTGAAGGCCGTTCGTAACCCGAAATGTTCGTAAACCGAAACTATTTTTCCAATAGGAATCAATGTAGAGAAAAAATGTCACAGTACAATAAAACCGGAAAAGAAAAACACGCCACATCACACGAATGTATACAACACGACGGTCGACTCAGAAATTATTCCGTTCGGACTAACTCGGTTTGGCAATGTTGTTCGAGAACCGAAATTTTGTTCGATAGCCGAGGCATTTTCATCTCGAATTTTCTGTTCGAAAACCGATTTATTCGACATGTGAGACGTTCGAGAACCGAGGTTGTACTGTATTTGTATCCATTTGATTGTTTCAGAAGCATTATCATGTTGCCGGTGATCTTTGCCGCCTCAGCTGAATTTGAATAACTAAAATATTCCTCATTTGGCTCTTGAAAATCACTCCAGGACTCCATAGCAAGAATTTATATCTCCTTTCCTCTGGATCGGGTTATTTCTGCTTGTGTGTTTTGTCTATCTGTTTCCTGCTTTTTCCCTTATTTTTCTTTACTTTATTATCCTTTTAAATTGCCACTGGAAATTTGTTGGTATTAAATAACCCATTAAGGTTGATATGCCGTAAAACAAAACAAAACCACCACTAGAATTTATCAATTAACAGACATTTAGTTACACTATAAACAAATATATTTTGTGCAAAATATAAGAATTTAGTTAATAGGGATAGAATGGGAAAAGAGAATACGTGACCTCTTTATCCTTAAAGTTGAATAGGGCACAAACAAATAAGACAAAAAAACATTTATTACAGTACACAAAATAAAATAAATACAAAATTTACAAACAAGTGCGTGCAGAAAAATGTTACAAAATAGAAAAACGAAAATTCCTATCTTGAATCATACTAAGAGCGTCTCTGGGACCTTTTACCATATTTGAAACGTGCTTCACCGGGGCTTTTAACGATATTTTAGAAATTTCTTTATGCTTTTTGTGAGCTCTCTTTTCATCGTCTGCGACGTCGTGGAAGAGTCTAAAGTGTTTTTTTTCCCTTTCTTTCAATGTTGCCCTTGCGGAAGCCGAAAACTTTTGTGCTCCTAACGTTAGCTAGTCATTTTCTTATGTGAACGTCAAAAAAACCTTCAGCTCTCTGCAGCTAGCCGGCTTTCTTTCGCAACTGACGTTTAAGTGCTTTCTGCCTTGAAGTCTAAATTCTTTCCGATCTTATCCAATGAGCTGAAACATTTTATGAGATAAAGTAGGGTCCCAGATACCTTAATCTCATGTTTCACAAGAGCATGAGACCACGTATTTGATTGGTCAGTAAATAAAATAATATATTTTTTTCACAAATTCAAAAAATGAATCCGCAACAATTTACTGAGAAATAATTTTGAGCGTTCTTTAATCGCTAATTCTAAATTTTCTCACAACTGTAACCATTTTTTACAAACCGCCTGGTTTTCTTAAAACTATATTTTTCTCAAAAGAACGTGAACGACCAAGACGATTAAAATAATTATTTATTATACCTTTAACTAAAAATTAACTTCATTTTATTGTATTCAAATATATACTTTCATTTAAAAAAAAGTCAAAATTGGAAAATAAAACATTAAAAATTATATAAAAAACAAACAAAATTCTCGAATTCATCAGATGTGTCTTGCCACCAAAGAAAAAAAATTCATCACTTGCGTGAGGAGATCTAGATTTGTTGATGCCAGAACGGAGTAACTTGGACATGAAGCACCTGGCGACCTTTCTTGAATCATGCGTAGTTCAAAGGACGCTCACGTGATGCAATTAGACTAATGAAGGTGATTGGTGGCAAATTCGAGTTCTGTGGAATGCAAAATAAATAAAAAATAAAAAAATCCAATCGGGTTTCGTGTGAGACAGATTTCCCAAAATTAGCTACACGCGACTCCCATCAATCATGAAAAAACTATAACAACGATCTTATACGAAGAACAAAAACAGAATGGACATACAAAATAAGTCTAACTCAGACGCAATTCGTACAAATATTTATCCGTACAGATATATAGACATTTTCTCGGGGGCATTATTCACTTTCTATTTTCTCGAAGATATTTGCTTTCACCAAATAAATTCTCGTTGTTTTTTTAAAACCCTCTATGATCTTACTTTGCTTATCTAGGCGAAAACCCGAGTTCATCTTGTTCATTGTGCCTTTTCTTTCTATCATTGCTTTGCACTCTCTCTCTACTGAATTCTTCAATTGCCAATCACCTAATGTCTACCACTGACGGATGGCCTTTCTAGTCTGAAACATAGCAGTTGTCGATTCCTAGCGACCAAGTGTTGCCTGTTTCTTCATAAACTTAAAGGCTGCTATCGACTAGCCTCCGTTCACAACAGATGTCAAAATAAAGTGTTTATATTAGGGTTTCCCAAATTGGGCGATATCGCCCACCGGTGGCCGATTTCAACTGTTGGGTGGGCGATGAGCAACCGAACAGAAAATGGTGGGTGATGTTGGATTTTCAATATTAAAAAAGTATTTCAACATCAGCTAGCGGACAAAATATTCAAAGGAGATATGCAAAAAAAACTGGAGTTTAAATAGAAATAACAGGATCACATTCCTAGATAAGATATAAATATCCCCGGAAACAATGAATATTTGGGGATTTTCTATAGTTTTGAGAAGGGTCATTAACATTCAAACTGTTCTTCAGGCGAAATAACATTTTTTTCGGATATCAATCAGGTAAAGGCAGTTGCTTATTAGTTGCTAGTAGTGTATATTCACTTTAATTTTGTAATTATGAACAATAATCACTTAATTATTTGTTAATACTTGCAACTCTGACCCTAACCATAAAACTAACCTTGATTATAAAACTAAATTATATATATATATATATAGTTTTATAGTTTTCGATGGTGAAGTTTGCTTTCGTTCGTTCTTTAATACGGTAGTAGCAGCAGCAGCAGCCGTCACATAAGTCAGCGTAACTTGTTACCTCCCTTTGCTATTTTTATTACATCATATAGTCAGTTTATGAACCAGTAAGAAACAATTTTTGTATGCGGTGGGCGGTGGAAAATTTTTTCCATGTGAAAATTGGAGATAACGCAAAAGATTTGGAAAACCCTGGTATATTTCAAGATTACTTAAAAAAATTTAATGCGCAGGCTTTTTTCTCAATTAACCTAACTTTTGGAACTGAATTTTGTCTTCCTATGAAGCAGGATTTTCGATCCTGCTGGTGGTAGATAAATAAAAAAGACATACATTATCAAAGATATCTCACGCCCCACAGACAATAGAGTAATCACCATAAAAGAAAAACAGAATAGGTTTAAAATGGGAAGAGCACAAATTGTGGTCAGGGAAAAGATCGAGTCTTCTTTATTGTTGTGAGAGCCCTGGGCCCCATAAGTACTTAACTTCTGAAGTCGTATGAGAAAGTTGGAGTCAATGTCAAGATTGGACACAGAAGGGCGCACTCCTTAAGGCTGATTGTATATTCTGAAGAGTTCTTGCATTCTGATGAACATGTGCCACCGTAGTTCATTGGTTTTAGACATCTGATACTATTCGCCTTGTGAAACCAAGGTTCTTCAATTCCTCTACCAATTTGAATTATTGCTATTTACTAAACTTGGCTTAGTTTGAGTATATGGTCACAAGCAGCCTCCCCTTTGTAACAGGCTCGCCTCCTTGTCGAAAAAAAAAAAACAATGTTTCCTACACCATAAATATTTTAGTGTGGTAATTTGTACAAATACAAACCATTCACCGAACATATTTGTAGTGTTTTATAACACTTCACTTTCCATCATACATGGTCAAGATAATTGATTCATTCGTTTTTTATAGCTTTGCAGATTATTTAAAGCCAGATAATATTTTTAGGGTTTTTTTTTTTTTTGTGATAATAAATGGTTTAGTGATATAAATTTTACTAATTATCCCATAAGGAGGAGAAAAATTGGATCCATACCTTTCCCGAGAGTATTTGCGCGTAAGTGAAAATAACTAATAGGAGAATTCTTCCAGACAACTGTTGGCGTGCGACAAGGATGCGTACTTTCACCCACATTATTCAACCTATTTCTAGAGAGAATCATGCAAGAAAACTTGAACGATCTTGATCCTTCTAACTCTATCGGTGGCAGACCGTCTTTAACTTACGTTTTGCAGATGACATTGACCTCATAACAGGTAGTAACAGCGAGCCCCAGGACTTGACCAACAAATTTGTTGAAGGAGAAGGAGCATATGGAATAGAGGTGAGCTCAAAGAAATCCAAAGTAATGGTGAATATCACAAACAGTAACACCTGTGTTAACATTACCATGAATGGGAATTCACTGTAGGAAGTGTCCAGATTTAAATACTTAGGAGCAATCTTGTCTAAATCTGGTACCTGCAACTCAGAAGTCCACATACGGATTGCTGCAGCCATGGCAGCGATGACCAAACTGACAAGAATATGGAGGAGCGAAATCAACTTTCAGACAAAGTACAGACTGTACAA